AATACAATATATAACTATTAACAAAAATAGATATAATCAAAAAAGAGTCAAGATGATAAAGGAGAAATTTTCACACCAGCCAACAACATTTAATGTGTGATTCACTTTTTTTCTCATCTCAGAATGCTGATTCTCATATGCCATATATAGTTGTGGAAATTGTTGCTGCCCTCAGAAATTCCCAAAATTGAACAAACATGATAAGTGGCATGTTATTTGTCCTGTGTTTAACTCTTTACCCATTCAAAGCCTTTCCTGGACTGAGATGTTGTCATGTTTTAGGCCTGCTCATTGAACAAAATGACTGGGTGTGCATCAGCTGCCTATTTAGCTACCCTTGGAAAACCCGACGAACTACTCTGATAGTCTTTATTGATATACTGAGATGTCATGATTGATCATTAAGGGTCCAGGGGAGGTTGTCAAATGTTGTCTTTATGGAGGAAAGACTTTAAGATGCAGAAATTAAGGATCATCACACACAGACCTTGAGACCAGTTAGCCAATCCAGTATCACGGCTTCCCCTGCTGGTACTGCAACTTCTGCATACGTGTCCATGTCATGCTTTGAAAAGGCAAAGTGTGAACTGGACACAGTGGACTGGTATGTGTATTACATGCTTTGCCATGAAATTGGGTTACAATGAGTCAGCAATTCCTTGGTGCTAGGGAAAATCTGTATTACCCTACTGGCTGGTGAATATAGGTCTTAGAGGTTGTTGGCAGTTGTTGGGTGTAAGTGGTTTCAAAAATGGTGCTTCACCAAAAACCTCTTTGTGTGCAAACACAAACGCTAACTCTCTACAGACTAGTACTGACCCTTATTACTAAAGAACAGAACAGAAACAGGGAAGGTTCTCATCTGAAATAAAATCTGTGCCTTACTGTTGAAATCAACAAACTAAGAAACAACTTTTAGGCGAGCAGCTACTGCTTCCCCTTTGCATTGTACTCTTCGCAGTATCACTACTGCTTTGCGAGTAATTGGTGAGTGTTTTCAAATGAGTCATCGTCTTCCTTACAATTAATGGCAAGTAAATTTCACTGAATTCACCTAGCAACAGCAAGCAATCCCTTGCCAACCAGTCATATTTTTGATGTCCACCCAGCTTTTCACCTTCTTTTACCATTGTCTGACAGCCCTGAACATTACTGTATGTTATGTGTCTGTACAACAACTTGGAGACCAGTGTATATAATGTACACCGAATAATGATGACAGTGGACTTGTACATGACAAAAATTTACTGATGTACTGGTCAATGAAATAAATGCTGTTTGATACTATACATAGATCCGTCTCATCATATTAGCTGGAGATGTTATATTTTAAGAATGATATGATTTTACCAGGGATAATATTAAAAAGCAAGATATGTTCATCCAGCTGCACATAGTTTGAAGACAGTTAGCTCTGCTGATAAAGAAATTTTAACATTGCCAGCTAACCAGATCAACCCTGGAACAAAACAAGATAGACTTGAATTTGAATGCGTGAACATTGTCTAACATTAGCCAAAAGAAGGGCAGCTCAGTTTTTTGGTTTTTGCAAACAAGCCTCTATGAACTTAATGCACTGCTGATGTTGACTGCCTTGAAATAGAAGTCATCTGCTTTGCACTACTTTGCATAGTTTAACTTTGAGCTTGTCTGCAGAAAAATTCCACTTACTGCTGACTATAAAGTGATTTAATATGAGTCAGTGGATCCAATTGAAGGGATGAGCTAAATCCCCACAATTATATGTTAAGTAATAGCAAGCTGTCTTTAGTGTTCTAATCTTGCTCTCTGGATCAGTGCTTTTGAAGTGCAGAAATTTGTCAGCTTTGTGCACCAGTTCATTTAACCCTAATCTGTTGGAGTATTGACTGCTCCACACAAAAGGAATGTTTTGTAGGCAGTAAAATGGCAGGAGTCTGCTTTATATTGTCCCGACTAAGCAATCAAGCTTGCTTAGCAAACCAGTTCCCCCTTCAGCAGTTCTTTTTATTGGATTAAATGATGTGCAATAAAGGCAAAACACCAGGGGGAGTACAGAGAAAAACGAACCCTCTGAGAGTTGTTGTGAATGATACAGACTAACCTATTTGATGCCGTCTCTTTGTCATCAAATGTGTAAAATCAGACATGCAGATTGATATCATTGGGCATTTTGTTTTTCTTTTTAATGTTCTGGGCCTTCAAGAAAGCTCTCATGTTCCAAGAAAATGTGACCAGTACGTTTTCAAAGAGTCTTTGATGACACAGAGTGCTGCTGGCACAAAGACAGACAACATTGGATAAGATGGAGGGAAGAAAAAAAGAGCAAGTGGGATGCATCAGGGAGTTCAGAGAAGAAGCTGTATGCCAGGAGGAAGTGACAGTGTCATGGTACCAGTGAGGCCATTCAAGATCAGAATCGGTTCTGACCCATTTACCCTCCATCATTCCGGTTCTTTGTCTTCATTTGTCTGCCTGTTGGTTACACTAAACCCTTTCACAGAAGATGCAAGGAACGAGGTGGATTTTTTTGTGTTAGGGTATTAGCCTCTGTCAGCCTAAATAGGCTTTAATTGGGGGGAAGTTTGGTCCAACACAGGCTGGATTTTCTAGACACACACACACACACACACACACACACACACAGGTGCCAACTGACCCTGCTTTGACTTCTTTCATCCAAATAAGCTTCATCTTGATATCACCACCATATCTGTGCTTTCTTCCCTTTTCTTTTGAAGACTTTTAATCTCTTCTCCTTGTTTCTTCCCTTGTCCTGTCCTGTCTTTCCTCTGTTTTGCTCTCTGTTCTTTGCCTCACAGGAACATAGTTACTTTCTTTCAGCCTTCTAACTTTAAATGTTATGTGTAAGGATCATAAATGTGTATGTGCATGTTGGAATGCTTAAGGCTGGATTTCCAGATTCCAGCACTGCTTCATGAAGCTTTAGCTCTAGGGGGAAAAATGTATTTTTTTTTACATTCCCTCAGAAACTTCTGTCACTGACCCACAAAAATGCTTGCTGTGTTTTTACTGCCTCCATTTTCACTGAATGTCATTTAGTGTTCATTTGCTAAATCACAGAAAACGTGTTAACATTACAACCAACTAAACCAACCACAGGATAGTGTACATTTTGGAGACTGACCTTATGGCAGCCTTTGACAGATGGCTTTAAAGTTTGCTTTATATTGTTAATCACATTGAACTTTTTGTAGGTTCCATTTTATTTGTAGATCAGACTTTCTGGTGTGTCAACTATTCTTTAAAAATGTAGAAGGGCAGTAGAGCCTTTAGCTTTCAGGTTCCTCTCTTGTGGAACCAGATTTTGGTTATGATTCGAGAGGTAAGAACCCTCTCTTGTCCTTTTTTACATGTATCGCACAGCAGGAAGTAGTCCACTTCCGAAACCTTCTGACTACTGGAAATACAGTAAAGGTGCTGCCTGGAGAAAGCATGCAGCAGACAGCACACACAACATGCTCTTGCTAAAAGTTCAGTTCTGTGCTCTTTGAACATCAGTGCTGTCTGAAATGACATTCACCTTGTGTTAGGGATCTGGTAGGTTAAAGGGGCGTCAGACATTTGCATTACGTAGCTCACATAAAAATTAATTTGTGCATTTGTAAAAACTTGGATCAGGTCACCCTCTGCCAGCATTATGCTGCTACAGGCTCAGGCTGCTGGGGTGAGAACCTCTCTCACCCAACCTACTGCATGTTATTAACTTTAATGTTTTCTGTCTCCTGTGATTTGTGCTTTTTTCCTGTTTCTCCGCTCTCCCTACTTCCTGCCCACTGTTGCTGAGTGTTTGCTCATAGAGGGAAAGATTGGATCATTTGGTTTGTATCTATAAAGTTTCTTTGAGGTCACTATTGCTGTGAACTTTTGTTACATGAACAAAGCACTAATAAAAATCTTACAGCTTTAGGGCACAATGTCACCGTCAGCTGGGGGGGGGGGCGTCCACTTGGTATTCCCTTAGGCAGTCTAGGAATTAATCTCCATGAAAACAGCTATTGACCAATGGGCTGCTCAGTTCTTGGTGATGTGGATGACTTTGTCATATATCAGTTTATCATTTTCTGTCCTTATTATTCTGGCATGTCAGTGTAAAATAGTCCAAACAGGACCTTAAACTTTATCTTGAGGGAACTTCTAATGCATTGGTCTGAATATGTGATGATCATAAATCATCAAATTCAAACTAAAGGTCAGGTATTGTAACAATAGTTCCCGAGTTCTTTTTAGCAAAGTGTCCAATACAAGCGTGATCAACTTAAGCAGCTCAGACTGAGGCTGTTCCGTGATGTAGTTTATTGCTGCTGCTGCAGTGCTCGGTAGCCTTTTATGCAAAGCGCGGTCGCAGTCGCGCGGGCGCGCACAGCTATATCCTGTGACTGAAAGCATCCCAGCTTCATTCACCCCGGAGATCACAGGACCGCTGGGAGCTGCCATCAAACTCCTCAGAGCGGAGATAAAGGCTTTTGGTTCTTTTGCGTTTTCCAGACAGACCTGCCCTCGGTTTGTGAGTTTTGACAATTTACCAACCTGAAGTGCCAACACGCTCAAACGCTGCAGAGGGCACAAATGGGTGATTTTTGAAAGGCTCATACTGAGGACAAAATGATGGATATTCCTGGATATGTGAATGCAAAAAATGCCTAATGCTTCCATCGGCACCTGTTCTGTCTAGACCAAAATGAAAAGCAACTGGACATACACTTGATGTCAAGTCTGATTGTGTGATTTCCTTTAAACTTCGGACCTGTGGACGAATATCGGTGGGATCCTAAGATTTGTACTTTTTTAATTTTGTTTTATCTTTTTAAAACTTGGACTCTCATTTTTCGCGGTCACTTAAAAAATAATCCCTTAAATCTCTTTGGCAGTGACTTACACCGCGTGCAGAACAAGCAGAAGTTTGCTTCAATCCTTTTTATTTCATTCGGGATTTCGCAGCTTTTTCATTAAAACTGAGGAGGTATTCTGTCCTCCCGAGGGATGATGAGAGCAGGGAGCGACAGCCCGGCTCCTTCGGTGGATTTTCGACCTATTCTGGTGCCTATGCAGTGGATCTGAGAGGAGATGAGAGCCGCAGTCTACCACATCCTTGCCGGCTACCTCTGCGTGTTACGCACCGTTGCTCAGGTGAGCTGAATCAAAACACTCTGTGTTTAATCTTTTCTGCTGCGTGTTGTGATATTTTTACTCGCAGCTATTTAGCTTGTAAACAAGTAATAGAACTCACAGAGACTCAGTCCTGAAGGTTAACGTACTGAATACAACAGATGGAATCTAGTTTATTTGCGTTATTACACACGAGCATTAATCTTACGCACAGTTACCTGTTTGATACATTTTGAAAACCCGCCACCGAGTCAGCTTGAAAGCCAGCTGCAGATAAGTAACGTTTGCGTGATCGTGATTTACGCACCAACTATGTGTTCCCACCCCCAATAAACCCACCCCCTTTATTCCCACAGGAGTCTCCTCTCCCTCAGGAGCTTCTGGAGCGGCTCTCTCGCAGCGAGATCCGCAGCATCAGCGACCTCCAGCGGCTGCTAGAGATAGACTCCGTAGGTAAAGCACTTCATTATAATACAAGTCTCCCACAGCCACAAGCTGGATTAATGATCCTTACAGAAAAATGGGGTTATTCATAGAAAAATCTGTTCATGTGATGCCTGTGACAGATTTTTAATAAAATATATGAAGAAATAAATAAACATGGTGCAGATAAGATCAGACGTGTTTTTTAAAGTGATGTGAAACATAATGCCAAGTATGCAATTTTAATCTCTTCAGGGAAGTAATTTTTAACTCTAAGAGCACTGCACAAGGCTACATCACGTTTGTGCTTGTGATCAGTGTCAGGGTTTCATGCACCAAGTGGCAGCAGACATAACTTGGGGCCAAACCTCTGTAGCATTTAAAGCTAAATAGTAGGCTACAATTTTTTTAATGAAATTTGAAAAGTCACAGGAAGTTACTGTAGAAACTCATATTTCTTTGCACCAGATCAACACTTGTGATTTTTTTAATCTATCTTTAATCTACTTCTGAAATTAGGAGCAATGCACATGTTTGTCTTATTTTAGCATGTCATTGAAAAATGATGTACCTTTAGTCATACAAAGATCCAAGCAGGCCTTAACTTGACTGAGTAACAGATAAACATCAGGCACAGGGAGCTTAAATGTGATAGTCACGGCTGCTTCCCTCCCTGTCAGTGCCTTGAAAGACTCTGACTTGAGGAATTAGTTGCATCTGGTTCAAGATTCTTTGTCTTCTCATCTCACCACTGGATGTTTCTCAGAAAGACCAGAAGCAACTTTTGTTTTTCTTAAAAAAATCATCTGTATCTTTTCTGCTCTGCTAGCAGCTGACTGTGTAGCTGAGATCACAAAAAAGAAGGCTTTGTGTGCAGTTCAATCATAAACAGTCTCCAACTTTTGAAGAAAAAAAAAAAGCACCGGCGTTTGCCTTCAATAAACACTGATGTCTGTGTTTATTATGCAGGTAATAAATCTGAGCAGATTGAATCAGTGAGGTGAGACAGGAGGAAATAACTGTGGCATAAAACACACTTTATTGCATCCACTCATCCACATTTCAGCCAAATAAACTTTTTTTTTTTTTTGCTGCGTGAACTTTTTTTTTATTTTTTTCTGTCTGCAGTGCTGAGTGGTGCCACCATTAATCCTGGCATCATTGAGATGCAAATGTCGAGGGTGACGGCTCCCCGGCTCGGTGGGGGTCAAGTGGCTCACTTCATTATACTGTTGTCATGCTGCCCATTATTGGTTTGAGAGGAGGGCTCGCTGGAAGGCTGCTGTGTTGCTATGTATAATTCATGCTCAAATTCCTGCATGTCAGGGCGAGAGAGGGAGACACACAGGCTCAGAAAGAGAGAGAGAGAGAATGAGAAAGATAGAGAGAGAGAGAGAGGGAAATGTCGAAGGTGGACTTTGTTGTGTTTTAGAAGCACATTGTGTATGTAGGCAGGCGTGTGTGTGTGTGTGTGACTGTTTGCATGCACATATGGCCTCAAGAATGAGGAGCGCACGCAGACATCTACACGGTGACCAAAAGAAGCATCAGGCTCGGTATTCAGGATCAAATTAAAAGAGTCCTGCCTAGACATCATTTACTCTGATTTCCTGGAACCTTGCTCCCTTTTTCCACCCACACAGACACACAAATCTACACAAATCCACACTGCACACACAATCTTTGCTCAGAATTTATTGGCTTTAAACATGTCTGTGGGTATCCTGTGGTTTGGAAGTACTGAATGGCTTGAAGAATCTGCGAAAACTGTGGATACATCTCTAGAAGGCACACACACACAAAGCTAAGATTTAAAACTAAGCCTTGAGGGCAAGATTGGCTGATATAAATCTTTATGCCATAAATCATCAGTTATTAACTAAAGAATATTATCCACTTTAGGAAAGTTTCCGTAAACTGGATGTTTGTCTAATCTCAGGTTTAGTATTGTCACAACCTGCCAAAACCTTGCACAGAAAAATAAATAAATAAAAGATTAAACTAAGCTCACTACCACACATTACTACCACCAAACCAAACTGAACTGACAAATACAATTTATGGCCAAGTGTCAATGAGTGGCAGAGTTTCCAAGATTAAATGTAGATAGAAGATGTTTCTGTGTTTGTAGGAATAACTCTGGGTTCTTCCTCTTCATGAAACCATTCGTGACTGGTGCTTGGTAACTCAAGGTTTCAGCTTCCTCCACAGATTTCCTATTGATCTGAGGTCTGGAGACTGGTTAGGGCCCAGGGGTGTTGAACTCCAGGCCTCGAGAGCCGGTGTCCTGCAGGTTTTAGATATCACCCTGGGTCAACACACCTGAATCAAATGATTAGCTCTTTGCCAGGCCTCTGGAGAACTTCAAGACATGTTGAGTAGGTCATTTAGCCTTTTAAATCAGCTGTGTTGGATCGAGGATACATCTAAAACCTGCAGGACACCGGCCCTTGAGACCTGGAGTTCGACACCTGTGGGCTAGGCCATTCCACACATTAATGTGTTTCTTCTTTATCCACTCCTTTCCTGCCTCTGTGGTATATTTTGGGTCATTGTCATGCCAGAAGACCCATCGATGACCCATCTTCAGTATTCTGGCTGATGGAAGAAGGTTGTAGTCCAAGATTTTTCCTGTCTTTTGGCCTCTCAATGCGCTGCCCAAAACATAACATTTCCACCTTTGTGCTTGATGTGGGGATGGTGTTCTTTGGCTCATTCAAAGCATTTCTGTTCATCCAATCAGATTCTGGTTACATCTTTCATCAACGCCTCAGTTTATAAGTTTAATGTAATTATTTTTCTGGATTTTTAGTTGATATTCTGTCTACTATCAAATTTCTTTGTAAGTGAGCAAACATAAAAATTCAGCAGGGAATCAAATAATTGCTTTCTCCACTGTACATCTAACCAGTAATAGAAGCAAAAAAAGTGCATTAAAGTCACATAACAGCAAATAATTCTCAAAATTCACAAAGAAGCTACTTAGAAAGTTCAAGTTTGCTTGCAATGTGATGTCATTTCCAACTTAACAAAATCTTTGCTGTGTGTCTGTGTGTGTGGATTACATTCAAATGTACCTGGAATAGGCACTGAAACAGTTTCATTTGGGGCTCGTGTACATGCAGAGAACTCAGTAGCTCACTGACATCATAACTCAGAATAACCTGGTTAAACTGCTTCTCTGATCAGGAGACACTTGATAAAGATATCTGTAATGAGCAGTTTGCTGTAGCATGTAAACATGCCACCACTTTTCCTTCTTTTGTATTTTGGTCAGTCAGCTGTCAAGTTATCTTGATAAGGAGATTCATGGTCCCATGAGGATAAATTACAAATATTTTCTATTTTGGCTCGGCCAACATTGTGGTGCGTAAGATTTCATGAAACTTAAGGGACAACTTCTGATGTCCAAAGAGCCAGGATCAACTGAAGTGATGCATCATGGCCCAAGATTACAATAAATAGGTATTATTTTTAATTCTGAATCATGCAACGTTAGTCCAGTAGTGTCCAAGGATGGAAATGTGGAGCTGGAAATGAGCAAAATAAAAAATATCCAATATCACCCAAGAGAATATTTGTGCTTCTCAGAAAATGAACTTTATGCATGCATGTTATCCACAATAGTGCGTTAGTATGTGTCTGTGTTTTTGACACAAGGATCTTTGTTGTTAACATTTAGAGTGTGTATTGTCTCAGTATGCTTGTGTTATTTTGTCTCTGTTCAGAGAACGAGGTGATCGAGGAGACCAAACACAGCTACCACAAGGACTTCTCTCACAACTTCCCCGACCTAAAGAGAGCACACACACATACCAGACACAGGAGGAGCACTGGTGAGAAACACACACACACATGTAGTCAGCTTGAGCCTCAGGTCCACTGGTTATCTAACTATTCTTTTGTAGTTTCCAAAAATTCTATATTGTATAACGTTAATAGGAAATACTAGTATTTGTATAAAAAGTGAACCACTGATGCAGGTTTGATCAGCCATGTTTGTTCACCTGCAGTCGTAGAAGAGGCCTTGCCAGCAGTGTGCAAAGTTCGGACAGCAATTTATGAAATTCCCAGGAGCCAGGTGGATCCCACATCAGCCAACTTCATCATCTGGCCTCCCTGTGTCGAGGTGAAACGCTGCACCGGCTGCTGCAACACCAGCAACATGAGGTGCCAGGCGGCTCGCAAACACTACCGCACTGTTAAGGTAGCTTTCTGTTGCTTCTCTCTATACATGTGACCACCTGTGTGTCTGTTTCAGACTCTTTTGTGTTCAAAAGAAGCTTTGTTTTCACACCACATTTGGAAGAGGTAAAGATTTGCATATAGGGAGTCTTGGGGGTTACCAGGTAGCACAGGTCGACACTACACTGCACTGATGAGCACAGCTAGACCCCGGCATGCAGGGTTAGCTTTGTAATTGTTTCTTTCTGCCTCAAACATTCCTTCCAACAGAAACCTGTTAGGTAATAAAACACATGGATACATTCACATATAAAACAAATATAACTAATAACTTTGTGCTGTCAAAGACATAATTCGGTCAAGGGAAAGAATAAGACTTTATATCAACACTGTACGTGCACACTTGCACTGCTTCAATTTTTGATATCCATCATTAATTCATTAATAAATCAATTTCATTTTAATCTTTACTCATTGCCATCACTTTAAACTTTTTCTTAAGAGTCAAAGAAA